TTTTATCAAAAAATTGAAGCTTTTAGTTGAAATGGTTATCGTGCAAGCTATCTATCTATCTACTGCCAACTCATAAGATGCACAATTTGCATTTTTTATTTGTCCTGATCTTTGTTATGGTAACAAGCTATCCAAGACTCTGCATTGCCCCGACGAGTCCGAATATCAAATTAGTGTTGAAACATGAGATATGAACTCATATGCTTTAGTTCAGCAATTCGAGGCCTTTAGCTGAAATGGTTACCTTCATACCCTGCAAGCTATCTACTGCCAAATCATAAGATGCAGAATTTGCATTTTATTTTGTAGGCGGTCTGCGTAGGTGTCGACTATCTTGGGATGCAATTGCCGGTGTAACCCCGGATACTTAAGCAAGGCGGAACTTCATCCTTGGCGAGGATGTCAAGGGACATGGAGAAGAGATTTACATAATGAAGGCCCGTTTTCTGTCTATCCTTTCATTCAGAACTAGAAAGGGATATAATAAAATACATGGAGAAGAGATTTAGAGATTTAGGGGTGCCATGTAAAGACATTCTCCATTTTCAGGGTGATTTACTACCTGTAAGGCTGTAACTTGTAAATAAGTAAAATACCAAGCCTCTTGACGTTGTTCCTGATTATCTAACAGTATAAATGACTTTTCAGCCAGATTAATTATTTGTGCTGAATAGGCAAATATGTGTACCAGTTTAATTAAGCATCAGGCATTTCCATTTGTACACTTGATCATGTGGTTGAAAGCGCTCGGACTGCCAGAATGATGCCTGACCAGGTGATCTAGGCTCCCAGCAAGGACAATCTCTCTGAAGGGAAAGCTCCTGACGCCCTGCTCACATTCATCTCCATCACAACCTCCTGTGTTGCACAGGTTAATCACATGAACACTAGAAACTTTGACGCCCGATCGATGGAAAAATGGCAACGGAAGCCGAGAGAGTGGTGCAAACAAGGCACATTTCTCGCTTCGGTTTTCCACCTTTTTTTGTGTGTTCTGCCACCTCATGTTTATCATTTACCAAGTAACCCCATGTATGTGAGTATATCTAGTACTCCCTCAATCCCATAATGTAAGACATTTTTCAACAGTAGCCTGTAACTTTGTTGTATAGTACTCATCTCTTTTGTAGATAAACAAACAAAATACAATACATGCACCATGTATTTTAAAATCTATAAAAAAAGGCTCTATATAGCCCGAGCACCAAAACGCTGTGCTCCAAACAACTAGCACTATACTAGCATGATGAACTTATGATTTTCTATATGAATAACAAGAAGTCAAGTGCTGCTACCAAACACATTGACATAAGTTATCAACTTATGAAGATAGAACACGGGATCAAGTAATTGATGTTAAGCATATAATTATGACAAAAATGCTTGCTGATTCGATCACTGAAGGATTTGGAAGTTTTATGAAACCCCGAATTAATTTAAACAAGAAAGAAAAAACAGAAAAAAAAAACAAGCAAAGAAAACTGGGGTGTCCCACCCCGGACATGGGCTGGCTCAAAACCGCGTGCACTTTTGCTCCCTATTCAGCACGTAGGTCGCTGAATAGGTGCCCCCTTCCATTCTTATCCTCAACCTGAGAATAGAAAAAAAAAACATCTCCTTTTTTTTCTCTACCTGCGGTGCCTCGCAGTAGGCGGCTCCTTCTCCATTGAATCCATGCCAAGTCCCTCACCTCGCGTGTCCCCGCCTTTCCCTCCTCTGTGTGTGTGTGTGTGTGTGTGTGTGTGTGTGTGTGTGTGTGTTGTCGTGTCGGTCGCCACCCCACCGCCCCTTCTCCTTGCGCCGCCATGTCCCTGGCACACTGCCACGGCGCTGCCGCTCTACTCATCGTCGGAGGCTAGATTCACGCGCAGCTGAGCATGCAAACCATGGAAGGGCACGTCGTACTGTTCGAGGTAGATGACGATGGAGTGGGAAGGTACCTTCGGCAGGAAGATGCAAAGCAGCAGCAATGTCACCCGTGCTAGGAGGACCATGACACTGGCACGACCGTGAACACTACTGCCGGTGAAGACCGGGTCGGCATGTCCTTCCCAGAACCGTTTTTTCTTTGTTTTCCTTTATTTTTATTTTTACCTTTACCTTTTATTTTTTATTTTTTATTTTTATATTTTCATTTTTTTTCTTTTTTGTTTCTTGTTTTTATCTTTATTTTCTTTTTCACTGCGAACATCTTTAAATGTGAACGTTTACTGAAAACATCAATATTTCTTGAAATAATGATATTGTTTCGAATTTTCCAACAAATTTTGAAATCATGAAAAAAATGAATACATGAACGTTTTTTTTACAAATTTGTGAACATTTTTTGAAATTTTGAATATTTTTAAGAAACTCATGAACACTTTTAAGCAGTTTTTTTTAGAAATTCATGAATATTTTTTGATATGCATGAACATTTCCTGAGTTCATAATTTTTTTGTAATCAGCAACCATTTTTTGAATTCATGATTATTTTTCGAAATTCCGGTTATTCTTATTTGTTTTAATTTTAAAAAATTGTTAACATTTTTTGAGCTCGCAATATATTTTTGATGTTCATGACCATTTGTTGAATACACGAATATTGTTTCAATATGATGAACAATTTGTGAATTGAAAGACATATTTTAGAACGTTGAACGTTTTTTGGTATGCAAAATGTTTTTTCTACAATGACGAACATTTTTTTAATCCGCAAACATTTTATAATTTTATGAATTTTTCCAAATTCATGAATATTTTATGGTATGTCGAACAGGTATTTCAAAATTTGCATTTTTTGAAATATGAAAGTTTTTGAAGCCCCGAATTAATTTAAAGAAGAAAGAAAAACAGAAAAAACAA